TTATTTTGATATCCAACACGGAAGTAAAATAATTAAAAGTAGTTTCAAAATACTTCAAAAAGACTTTGAGAGACATTTTAGCGGAAACTTGTTTACATTAAATAAGCCAAATAAATCCAACTTTCGGGATTATAATTAATTAATTTGCTTTTATCGTCAATTTAAAAAAATAAATAGATAAATATATTGTTCTTTTTACAATGATTAAATACGTGCTTAAAATCAGTTTTATTTATTTAATTTCTAACAATTTAAAAATCAATTATTGAATTTATTTTAGAATTTAAAATTTTCTGAAATGCAGCATTACCTTTGTTGTGAAAGTGTGTGTTTTTGTGTAATTTTTTTTTCTAAGAGGTACAAAAAAGCCATTCCAAGTAATTTATGGATTAAATAGGTGTTAGAGATATAAATAAATGGTAAATAAATGAAATAAATAATTAATTCATCACCATAAAAATGTCAAATGTTTTAATTATATTTTTTAAATTGACAACACAACTAAATAATTAATTATTTATATCCCTCAATAAGAAAATTATTAGGGCTTTTTGTATAAATATTTTTTATCCTAAAATGTGTTACAAAGTATTTTTTTAGCATATAATAGCGAATAGCAGTTATTTTACGTCCATGATGGATATCAAAATAATCGTCAGATGATGCACAATTTTAATTTGTCAATTGCAATTTCATATTTTTACTTCGTTTTGATTTTAAAAAATCGGTATTCAAAACCCTAACGCAATTATGAAAGAACTTCAAAGCCATTGCTTGTTCACAAGGGACATGGGGTACACAGTAATGACACCTATTGTCTTTTTTACTGACCACTATACCTTGTTTATTTTGTTACAGAGAGCAACTGTGTCCTATCTGAGGCTGTTTGAAATAACATTTTCTCTTTGTGAGAGAACCGGTTTTTTTTCAATAAAAACAAAATAAAAGTATCAGAAAAGCTTTTGACGGATAAAGATTGTGCATTATGAGACGATTATTTTGATATCCAACACGGAAGTAAAATAATTAAAAGTACTTTAAAAATGCTTCAAAAAGACTTTGAGAGACATTTTAACGGAAACTTGTTTACATTAAATAAGGCAAATAAATCCAACTTTCGGGATTATAATTAATTAATTTGCTTTTATCGTCAATTTAAGAAATAAATAGATAAATATAATGTTCTTTTTACAATGATAAAATATGTGCTTATTTATTTAATTTCAAACAATTTTGTATAGTCAATTTTAAAATTAAAATAAATTATTTATTTTATTTATTTACCATTTATTTATTTCTCTAACACCTATTTAATCCATAAAATACTTGGAATGGCTTTTTGTACCTGTTGGAAAAAAAATTACACACACACACACACCTTCACAACAAGAATAATGCTGCTTATTTAAATTAAATAGTTTTTAAAATCAATTCAATAATTGATTTTGAATGGTTAGTGAATAAATAGATAAAACAAATTTACAGCACGTATTTAATCATTGTACAAAGAACCATATATTTATCTATTTATTTCTGAAATTGACGATACAAGCAAATTAATTAATTATAATCCCGAAAATTGGATTTATTTGGCTTATTTAATGTAAACAAGTTTCCGTTAAAATGTCTCTCAAAGTCTTTTTGAAGCATTTTTAAACTACTTTTAATTATTTTACTTCCGTGTTGAATATCAAAATAATCGTCTCATAATGCACAATCTTAATCCGCCAATAGCTTTTTTGATACTTTTATTTTGATTTTGTTTGACAAAAAAAAAAAACGGTTTTCTCACAAAGAGAAAATGTTTATTCAAACAGCCGCAGAGTGGACACGGTCGCTCTCTGTCTCAAAATAAACAAGGTATAGTGGTCAGTGAAAAAGACAATAGGTGTCATTACTGTGTACCCCATGTCCCTTGTAAACAATCAATGGCTTTGAAGTTCTTTCAGAATCGTGTTAGGGTTTTGAATACCGATTTTTTAAAATCAAAACAAAGTAAAAATATGAAATTGCAATTGACTAATTAATATTGTGCATAATCTGACGATTATTTTGATATCCATCATGAACGTAAAATTTTTGGAATTTGTTTTCATATACTTAAAAATACTTTGTAGCATATTTTAGGAGAAGTGATTTTCACATAAAAATAAAACTAAAAAAATCAATTGGGGGGCGGGGTGTATATTTAATCACTTTGTTGTCTTGTCAGTTACAAAATAAATAAATTAATTTTTATTTATTTTGTTTATCTATGTATTTTTAGATAAATTGATAAATAAATAAGATAAATAATTAGTTCATTTATTAATTTTGTATTTTTAAAGTCATTCATTTTATTTAATTTTCACTTACCATCTCACCTTATTTATTTTGTGCCGAGTTTACTATGCAACTCTGTATTTGTCAAGAAATAGATTGATTTGTTTTTAAAATGATTAATTTCATTTAATTAATTTTATTTATTTATTCAAGGAAACTATATCAATTTTAAAAACTACAATTTTCCAAATTTCAGCATTACCCCGGCCGTGTTTTTTTTTTAAAGTTCAAAGTCACTCCAAGTACTTTATGGATTGAATAGGTGTTTGCAAAATAAATAAATTAAGTAATAAATCAAACCAAAGAATAATTAAATAATTAATTTTAAAATTGATAGATAAATATTCTTTGAAGCAACAATTTATTAATATTTCATAGTTATTTCAGAGTTAAAAAAGAACACAATTAGTCTCTTAACACTTTAAAAAAATACTACCATGTGTTTAAAATAATGTTCAAAAATTTCTTAGGTAAGTAACTCTGTGTACTAAATTGACAATGCCACATCTTAGGTAACCGTACAGTGCTCTGGGAGTGTGTAAACTTCTTCTTTTTGCTTCAATGAACATATACAGGGGCGTACTGGGAAATATACTGTGGTTTACCGTAGTTGTCTGTAGGAAACAGTAGCCATACAGTGGCATACTGTAGGCGTATCGGGGCTTACTGTGTGTAACTGTGGCATGCTGGGGATACATACAGTGGCATACAGAGATTTACTGTATATACAGAGCTAGCATACCGTAGCATACTGTAGATATACCGTAGATTACTGTGAAAATGCTGTAGGATACAGAGAAAGACAGTGGATTTTCATACGGACAGGGGTTTTAAAAGCCAGTAGTGTTATAAGATTTCAGCAAAATGATTAAGTAGTTAAACATGTATACATGTACAAATGAATAAAATAATTAGGTCATGTACTTGTATAAAAATACCATATGACATGAAAGTGTCCACAGCAAAATTAAAATATCAGCAATAACATTTGCCATGTATTCTCTATCGAAAATATATGAAAAATCAAGTTATTTGATATTCTAGCATACAAATAAGAATTGGAAATATTGACATGTCAAATTTAGACAAGATTGGGTACATTCTCCATATTTCATAATTATTCTATATTTTTCCAGGTTCTTTTCCTTCTGTATCTTTTCAATATTTTCAGTTGTCCTCCCTCTGATCTGACCATTTTGAAAATTTCTTTGAACCGGAAATACAAATCCACCAGTTCTCCCCTTCCTGAACAATTTCTTTGTGGCACAGAATGATCTCTACAAAAATTTCAAAAATAAAAATAAAATAATTCTTAAATTACAAAATTAATTCTACATTCCCAATTTACAGACACAGATATAATACGAGATAAAACTAATTTTATATATGTTATACTAGGTGTTTTGTGAAATCCTTTGATGTAATTTGCAAGACACTGTTATAAGATATGCTTCATAATAAAATTATAAAAAGCATTTTTTTTTTATTTTGACAATTGAATTAAAGCAAGATAATTACACTCTTGGAAGACATGCATAACGCTTCATATTAAAATCATAAAAAGCAATTTTTAAAAATATTTTTGTCAATTGAATTTGGAATGTTCAAATAGTATAACTATTATTGCCAAAAATTAAGAAGATTCTGACACAAATTTATTACTTTTGGACAAAAAAAGATTACAGACAAGTAGAAACTTTGTTGGGAAGAATATAACACAGTCTGTTAAACAGTGTGTAGTTACCTTAACTTTGGAACAAGCCTATGATCTTTGGACTGTATATTGAACCTGTAAAACCAATATTAACACAGTAGATATTTTCTAAGCAGAACTAAAACTTAAACTACAAAAAAGAGAGAGTATACAAGTTTGTAGGTTCTCAATAGTCTTAAATATATTACATTTTACCTGAAACTAGGTTCTCTATTAGTATTTTTTTTTTTTTATTTTTTTTATAAAATTCAGTCAATGAAAACATAAATGTAAATATTCAGTGGATTAGCTATCTGATGTACTTTCAACATATGTGTACTTTGAAAGTTGCCACTGTTATTATTAATTTTTTGCTGAAATTCAAAAATTAATTTACCCCCTGAAGTTATTGTATAGTTTCATAGCTTTCAAAGCCAGCATATTCTATTCATACTTACCATATTTTAAAAGTGCATTGGATTAAAATTGTTTCAAAATGTAGAATACAACCTCTATATTATTGAGTTGAATTTATTTTTGGTGAAGCCATGCAAACAATGTAGAATTACAAAGGAACAAAAAGAAATTATCAAGAAATATTTTGTCATAAAGAGATACTTTGATTTTTTATTTCAAAGTATTTGTTTTTACCTTCAATATTGTGATGATGCAATCGTCTGTCAAATCAGCTTCAGGATCGATCGCCAGTCTTATCAGCTTCGGGCTGTTTGGACTGAAAAAAAAACCTGCACTGTGACACTGAACTCAAGTTGCCGAATGCATCTATAGGCCATAAAAACAAACATTTGTCATTATGTTTAAGAAGGAATCCGGACTTGATAACGATCTCAACATACATAACGCCAACTGACATACAGCGCCATGACAAAAGTATTCGCGATTTTTCAAAATGGCGGCCGTAAACAAGGACGCGCTTCAAGGAACAAACATCTAAAATATATACTTAAATATCATTTTAACTTACCTAATATTTGGTGAGGTGTCCCTTAGATTTAATGACAGCAAGTAAACGGCGTGGTATGGAATCATACAGAGTTCTTATGTAATTCTGATCAAATGAAATCCATATGTCTGAAACGACGGCGACGAGCTCCTCGGGGGTCGTTACGTTTTGTTGCCGATTTTGTAGAATTCGTTTAATTCGAAGCCACAAGTTTTCAATAATATTGATGTCCGGGGACTGTGCCGGCCACACAATAGTTGGAATGTTATTTTCCAGTTTGTAGTCCCTCGTAATGTGGGCTCTATGAACGGGGGCATTATCATCTTGAAAGCGGTACGGTTTATTGCTAAAATGCCGAGCAATTACAGGCCATAAATGGTTTTCTAAAATTGCAATATATTTTTCTGCATTTATTTTACCGTTGACAAGGCAAAGAGATCCTACTCCGTAATATGTAATGCAACCCCACACCATAATAGACACCCTTCTCTGTAGCGGAGGACACATGCATTGGGGAAGGAACGCTTCTTTTGATGTTCTCCAAACGTATACTCTGTGGTTTTCACCCAGAACGATCTGATTTCATCGGAGAAGATTACAGAGTTCCAATAATTATTAACAGTAAGTTTTCTCTCCTCGAGACACCAAGACATACGCTTTTTTCTGTTAACCTGTGACACAGCCATCTTTTTTCTTACCACTCGTCTCTTCACATCATGTTCATGTAAAAATCTCTGCACTGTCCGTGGATGATCATTTGCATCCCTTCTTCTGGTTAAATCAATCGTAATATCACTTAAAACACGTTCTCTGTGAATTTTGGTATGACGAACAAGCCAGTTCCGATCCCGCTGCGACATCTTGCAAGGACGTCCTTTTCTTTTCGCTTTGTTTATCTCCCCCGTGTATAAATACTTTTTTCCAGATTGATCTGATTGTAGATTCCGATATTCCTAATAAATTTTCAATTTCACACGTCTTTTTACCTTTTAACTTCATTTCAACAATCAATTTTTGTACATCGTTCGTAAATTCTTAAGATTTTCGGACCATGGTGAATAATATGTTTGTTTACGATTTTACAAGAATGCAGACGACGGAAATTGATACATTACGTCACCAACTTGCGAAAGATAACTCTCTGAAAATTTCACTGGACAAATCGGCCTCGTTCAAAAGTTATTCCCCTTTGAACAAACGAAGTGTATATTGTTGACGTCGCCATTTTTGAAAAATCACGAATACTTTTGTCATAGCGCTGTACAAGGTTTCTACTTTCACTTTCATATCAGAACGTAACAAAACGAAAACAAATTCAAGTTTTAAAAAGTAGTAATGCCTTTAGCCTAACGTGTAATGTTTACATTCATTCAGAAACAAATTTTACCCAAACTTACCTAGAGATCACGAACGTTACGTTTACGAAATGCATTGATTTAACAATTACATGCATGATGCGAGTGATAAGAGTATATAGAGATTTCATACGCACCTGTAACAATAATGAAATTATATTTAAACAATAAGAATCAAAAGTCTTTAAAATATTATTGTTAGATCACTTGCCTTTTCCAAAAACCCAACACGTCTGCTGCAGCAGTGACGTCAAAAATGACGTATATTTTCATCCGATAAAAGACAAAACCGGCCCGGAGAAAAATACGGAATTATTTTAATTGTACTTAGCCAAACCCAAAAGATTTAAAATGAAAAGCAAATTAATTTATTCTTTATCTATTTTGTCTGGGAAATGCATTAAAACAGAAAAAAAAAAATATGAAAGGTTTTTTTAAAAGGAAGGTGGGGCGGGGGGAGGGGGGGGGGGGCGTTGAGTAAACAGAGTAGAACTTTACATATAATTAATTACTAACAAATTCTTTTGAATTAATGTACATTTAAATTCATCTTTTGATATATATAATTGAAATTGCAATTTTACTTCAGTATAACAAGGACAGATAAGTGCATGAACACTGTTTCATATGATTCTCATATGATCACCGTTTCATATGATTCTCATATGATCATAGTCAAAACATTCGTGTGAATTTTACCTGAGTATAACAAGGACAAATTAGTGAACATTGTTTCATATGACTCGCATATGTTCAGTTTCATTGAATTCTCATATGATTATTGTCAGAATATTCATATGATTCTAATATGCAGGATCTTTCATATGAGAATCATATGTATATTACTTCACATGATTCACATATGTATGATCATATGATTCTCATATGATTGGCCACATATAATACTCATATGATTTTATATACATATGATTCTCATATGATCCATATATGGTCTTCATATGAAAGGCAATGCATATGTGGATCATATGTGGCTAAATTGCCTACGCAGGTAGGCTAAGGTTACAACCAAATATTATACTTGCCTATATGATATGACGTCATAGTAAACTATATGACGTGAAGTTTAGAGATAACAATTTCTTATAATCGATATCTAAGATTGATTTGAGGTTGTAAAAATTAATCAAAATTTGCAGAGGCATTATGCAAACAAAACTTAGTCGTTTCTGGGTCTCTGTAGTTATCAAAGGGGTTAAATACCAAACCCGTGACGTCATAACTGTTGATCATGCAGTAGCAGAGTGAAAGTGAAACGTTACGAGAATTCATGTAAACAAACACAAGAAATCGGAATTTAAAAGCATTTAGAATGAATATCATGTGTGATTCATGTGGGAATAAAGCTTATGAATAAGGTATGGTAATATACTTCAACAATGTCTTCGTAAAATTAAAGCAGGGAGGGTGTTTACTTGCCGATCAGCCTTTCCTCTGTCGTTCGTAACAAATAAGATGCAAAAGTTCAACACTACGCCGCACACTTTTAAACTTAATTTTTGTTTCTATTTAAAGTTCTTGTTCTAATGTTTTTGAAAAGTGCTGCTAGAATCGTATGGTTTAGGGGAATTAATGCATTTTTTACGATGTTATGGACAAAATGTAAAAATTTTGGGAAGGTTTCGTCAGAAAGTTTTGAATAATTATTTTTGTGATAGGACAGTAGGATTCTAGCAGCACTTTTCATGGTACAGAGATATTTTTACATAATTATTATTACAAATTGAAATTGATTATCCCCGGGGTAGTGTCGAACTTTTCACTTTTTCATTAAGGCATATTTTCTAATTATAGACGTCACGTGGTGACGTCGTGGCGAAGTGCTTCATGAAGTATAAGTCCCATTGAAGTCTATAGAATGCATAATTATAACAAAAGTTTTATGCTTGACTTTTCCGATTAATTAGTGTAACCTAATTATAAAAAAAAGTCTTAATTCGCCGCATTCTGGTCAATGTGCTGCCTTAACATACCCGCGTATGTAAAAAGAAAAAAAATCAATACAAGTTGAAATCTAAGTGGTGAATATGTTGTTTGTCTACATTCGAGAATGCAATGGAAACATCGGAAAATATTTTACGTCAAAATGCACAATTGTAGTCCTGTTCCATAACATATAAACACTGTAATTCATAACTTACGTTACTTGGGAACTATCGACAAAAAGACTCTTTGAACAGTATTTTTCTTCCGAATAACTTCACATATTAAACATCTAAATGAACGCCAATCCCACCCACAGGTAATCGCTCTTTGTGGCTTTTTCCTAGTCTAATTCAAGTTTTATTTCGACCTGTTTGATTTCTTCCAGTCGGTGTTGAATTTCTGAGATTGTTGAGCTCAGTAACAGCAAGTTTGACTCTTCGCTTTTGCGCCAGTTTATCTTGCTTTTCATTTTCTTCACGATCTGCGACATTTCATCGATTTCATCTTTCAAATCCCCTTCGAGATAGATTCTTACAATAAACAGAAACCTTTCTGCATACGTACTTTGTAATGCTTCCAGCTACAGCTGTACTGCTAGGTGCAAACAATGCAACAAGGACCGGTCTAAGTTTGTTTTCGACATCAAAGGGGGTTTTTATTCCTGTCATTTTGTATTTTATCTCATGCAAATGTTCGTGAAGTTTGATAAAGTTATCTGTGAGGCTTTGTAAAATTTTTCTTTCAAACAACTTTCCAATATTTTCTTCTTGCCAAGAAAGAGTCGCCTTTTCTATTCGAGAGTCCAGTTCTTGACCAATCGTAAAGCGCGTATATTTCTCCGTTCCTTGTAGAACAATGGTTTCTAAGTCTTTACTTTGAATATACCGTTAAAGATCCTCTGCAGTTTCATTCAGAAAAGTTTCAATTCTGTTATGGAGATTTGAGTATGCCTAAAAGGAAGTTAACATATTTCACATAATGCATTTTGAAACGTTTTTATTTAGTGAATATTATCTTTTTTATTTTAAATTGTTTTAACATTTTTGTTCATGAATGTTAGTCTTAATTTTGGGTAATTTTTTCTCAATATACTTTTAATGCCCACATTGTGAGTATGCTATAATTATTTCATTCTACAAATACGGGAAAAAAGTTGAACTGTTTGGTGAAAACTGTTCCATTGTATGCCAACAGAACGTCATAATATGAAAATAAATGTCAGAGGGGAGATCAAAGATGGAAATAAGAATGGCTGACAAACGTTTATGAAAAAATACTAAACTGAGTTGAGCATTTTGCTTTAATCAAATTAAAATCTAAAAAGAAAATGCCAGCGTCATAATTATTACATGTATATTATGTAAGAAAGTAGGTATTTATTATAATTTACATGTGACCAGACTTACCTCTGTTCTTTTAGTCTGGATTACTTGTAGATCTCTACAAAGCTGATCCAGGTCCTTTATTGTATCATCTGTATATTGTCTTGCACATTTAAGCTTACTAGAAAGACTTATATCACAGACATCAACAAAGGATTCTATAAATCTGTAAAATTAATATTGTAATACATATGTTAAAGTTCATTAAGGTTATCCGATCCTCAGGTTTTGAAAATCAGGCATGCATTGAATAATTGAAAATGCTAAAAAAGATGTCTCTTAATTTTCAAATTAAAATGTATTTACCCACAGTGTTTCTTTAAACTTCATATTTAAATTTAATCATATTATATAGTGGAAATTAGTTAATCTCAAATAATTTTTCAGGAAATGCGATTTGAACTACCTACTGCATAATTATGTTTTAATTGATAATTGATCAAGAAATACATTTTAGGAATAAAAATCATAGGTATCCAGGATTTTAAAGAAAATTGCAAGAATTTTACACTTTTTTGGACTTTACTTTCTCCTTCTTACTTCCATCGTTTCATAATGCATAGTGTATGAAGTGTTTTCTTTCAAAGAAAACACTGTAAATCACTTCTTATTTCAAATCATGCATATAAACATTGGTAACTAAGGCTTAATTAAAAGAAATTTGATTTTTTTTTAAATATTCAAGTTTTACTTCATTAAATGAGGGACAATGGTCAACTTTTTAAATACCGTTTGTTAAAACTTAAAAGAACATTGAATCATACGTAGAGACATACAATGAAAATTGTTGCATGAAAAAAAATTCAATTTCAAACTTTATTTTAAGACATTTTGCATTAAATTATAAATTAGAGAGTTATCCTTCTTGGCTGAGGATCGTATATCCTTAATACTGGATTTTAATAAAATAAAGCCACATATACATGACACGCGCTTGTCTTCTTACGGGTAAAAAAAAGTCTCCGTTCTCATTAACTTTTTTTAAATTAAAACTTTATGTATTACATTTAATAAAACAAAATTTCTTTTTTGTTCAAGAAAGCACTATATCTAATTATTATAAATCTGTACCACAGGGTCTGATATTCCTTGCTAGAAGTAACAAGATGATTTAAAAAAGAATATATATTGTACATATCACCTTTGTAGTTCGGGAAGAATGAAAAACTCTAATTTTAA